TTGCCTGCCTTTTATAATCATGGAGGCAAAAATTTTGTTCTTAGGAGGGGACTGGGACACAGCATTTATTGCCAGATTATTTTTGGGTGAAATTTCAACAATGAGAATTTCATCATCACTTGAAGTGTTTTCTTCCTTCACTGCATGTATTTTGGCTTTAGAAAATGTATCTCTCATACCTGGTGATTTCTTCAAGCTGCACTTCTCAACAAAATGGTTTCTCTTACCACAACCAGAACAATATCTGCCAAAGGCTGGGCAACTCTCTTTGTTTCTTTTATGGCTACGCCCACAAAATTTGCAGTCGGAAATAAAACCTCTTGTGTCTCCAGTGGTCTTCCTCGGGCTGCTTTGCTTTCCAACATAATGGGCCATGAGGTCTTGATTATCATCTTGGCCAGCAATTATTTTTGCTTGAGCAGTAGTTGTTTCTGTGGCCCTGCATAAGTCAATGCATTTAGATAATGAGAGTTTTGGTTCTTGCAGTAGCTTACGTCGCACAGCATTGTTGTGAATGCCACAAACAATTCGGTCACGTATCAACTCATCATTAAGTGGTCCAAATGCACATGTGGCTGCGAGGGCACGCAAAGAAGCCGCATAAGTTTCAATTGACTCTGTAGGGCCCTGTGTACAGTTATTGAATTTATACCGTTCGTAAATCACATTTGTTTCTCCAATACAGTAAGTATTCCATAATTCGAAGATTCGCTCAATGTTTGGACGTTCACCCTCCTCCTGGTACGGAAGTGAATTGTGTATTCGAAGGGCTTCCGGTCCTATGCAAGTGATGAAAGCAGCCACTCGAAAATTGTCTGGTTTAGACTTCAAATTCGTAACAGTTTCGTACGCATCATAGATTTGCTTCCATTGCTTCCAATTCTCTGCCAAATTCCCTTCTAAACTTAATCGTGGGGGTAATGGCACGTTAGATATGAACGCCGATGTGCCGCTATTTCCTTCAGAGGAAGCACTAGGCCCAGGCACGATTGGATTCGGATCTGTCATCGCGAAACAAGAACCAGCAAAGCAATCATTTACCTCCTAAACATCAAAGATGGGTGTTTCACCTGACACCATGTAAGAATATCCGGTATGTAACAACGAAAGAACACCCGAATTTGAACTTCAATACTTCATTTCATATTCTCACGCATAACATCATATAACATAACATAACGAACCGGGCGCATGCCCAACATAACATAAATACGAGGCTAATAACGTCACAGGACCTGTACTTGGTTTTCAGTGCAGCAACAGCATAGAAGCCTATCTCACAAAGGTATGAAGTTGCAAAGGGAAGAAGAATGTTCTTAGCCTTCTGTCCTAACAGGGAATACTGCCTCTCTACACTCAGTCAAAATTCACTTAGTATCCGTGATGTGAAGCTCAGTCTCAAAGTTTAGTCAGATGTCATGTCAATGAACTGTTCCTCCTCTGCAGAGGTGAAGCAAGCCGGAGCTGGTGCATTGAAAGGATCTCTCACCCAATCATACTGGGAACTGTTTTCAGGAAAGTACTTTTCAAAAACCCCCTCAATGATGCAATATGCTGCTTAATAACTGGAAACACTGAGGTGGCGTCATAGTCAGTGGTGTCAATAAATTCATGCAAATTTGCAAATGCGTCACTTCTTCCTTCATCAAGTTGCCTGTCCCACATTGCAAGCTTTCGAGTGAAAGAGCTAATCTTGTCTGTTACTTGATGAGGTATGTGTTTGTTTTTCCCTTGGAGCTGTAAATTTAGTTCATTCAGCTTTCCAAACATGTCACTCAGGTACGCCAGTCTTGCCAGGAAGCTCATTAAATTTTGCTTCTGCTCCAAAAACACTCTAATCTCCTCTCTGAGCTCAAAAACACGGGACAAGACCTTTCCTCGTGACAGCCACCTTGCCTCACTGTGAAAGAGCACAGCCTGGTGTTCAGCTCCCATCTCCTCACAGATAGCAGAAAAGATTCTGGATTTTAGTGGTCTGGTCTTTATAAAATTGACTACACCTATAATGTAAGCCATAACTTCCCTGAAATAGTTTGTGCACCATCCCTGCAAGCACCAATGCAGTTCTCCCACTTTAGCTCATTCTCAGTTAAGAACCAGTCCAAAACTTTAAATAGCTCCTCAGCTGTGGCTCTTTTTGACATATTTGCAGAAAAGCAAATCCTCACACAGGGAGTGTGCCATGTCAAAACGCACGTAAGCAATAAATAAAGAGTCTTTGTTGCTGTCAGTTGCTTCATCAAATTGTAAAGCAGATCGTTTGTCTTTGAGTTTTTCTACCAACTGTTCCTGGAGATCTCTCGCAATGTCACCAATGCGTCTTGCGACAGTGTCATTGGACAGTGGGATGGCTTTTATTTTTGCAGCACTTGCGTCTCAGCCCATGCCGAAACGCATGCCCATACAGAAAAGCATAGTACACCGGCAGTATCAATTCCGCATAAGTTGTGTGGTATTTTTCACTGCACAATTTGGTACGATACTTTAAATGATGCTAAAAGTGCTCGCTTACAGTGGCGGCTCGTGTATTGGGGTTAGTGGGGCTCAGCCCCACCAAAGATTTCCAAAAATAAGTTCTAGATTTATAAACGTAAAGAAAATCAACGTCTATTATTAATTTAGCACTGTTCATTAATTTCGTTGCTTCGAGTTTCACTGTTTGTCCATTCTCTAGTTTGTTTAGGTCCCACCGCCCGCGGTTCTTTCGAAAACTGAACAAACACGCGTATCAGAAACCATCTCCCGAGCTTTTGGGGCTAGCCCCAAACTAGCAGAGAATGCACCAATCAAGTGCCTCTCATGACTCTACTATTCAATTGATGACTGCCTTCTGATTGGCCAATTCTGCTCAAATCTGCATTCCTTTGGGGCTAGTTGAAATTTTTAGATGAATTTTTGTTGTTGTGATGTTGAAGCAGCAGAGTGGCGTGTATTCAATGACTCCAATTATCAACCTTAAAACTTTGAAATAAAGCATACAAGTTAGATCTTTATCAAAATTAATTTTGCCAATCTTCAAATAAGCTCATAATGGGAAGGCTAGGCCGTAGGCCTTCTAATGGCATAAAGCATATTTCCAATGCAGGCTTTCAACTGGAACAATTTTAGCTTCACGTCATATGAAAATTAATCAACTAACAGTTTGAACTTTTTGTTCTTTTAAATTTTTTTAATTGCCATGATATGCAATGCAAAGGATATATTCAAGTTGTCTATGTATTTATGGACATCCCCCACGAACTCCCCTTTTTTTGAAGAGAGAAACGGTCCAGAGGACTTGAATAAATAAAGTTGAGCACACCAACATTTCACATAGTTTATTATTTTGCTTATTAAAAAATTATACATGATTAATAGTGGTACTTGTTTATTTTTCAATCGAAACTTTCAAAATGATGACAGCCTTGTTGATTAGAGGTAGTAAAAAATGGAAAGGCTTTTTATTATTCTTGGCGTTCCGTGTCTATGGCTCAGATTTCGAATATTACGTCATCAGCCCCACCAAAAATTTACCCCACGAGCCGCCACTGCTCGCTGATTAGCTGATATAGCGTTCACGAAGCGGGATGATTGTCGGTCGTACTCCGCACGTTTTCGCTGAAAAAAGTTAAGTGACTTGTCAGAATAGTCAGGATGCAATGTCTGTAGGCGACGTCTTAATTTGTTTGGCTTCATGCTATATGCTGCCAACATTTTCAGACATAGTAAACACCCTCTCTTCTCGTCTCCCGCCATTGCCACAGTAAAGCCAAGGCCTAGATAACCTTCGTCATATTTCCTCTTTTTAGCTTTTTGGAAACCTTTATTTGTCTCTTTACCTTGGTCTCTTTTCGTTGCTGTTTAGAATTTCTCCATGGTGTCTCTTAAGGAATTTGAAACGTTTTAAACTCCCGCAAAGATTTCGAAAATGTGAATGTTCACATGATTTTGATTCGAACACCTAATTTATTAATTTATTTGGGTCCGATTGACAAGCACGAGAAGGGAACAGACGGTAAGGCTAATCAGTTTTAGAAATTAAGCAAGGGTTGAAAGTATGCAATCACACTTTACATGGCAAAGTATAGCTCGTTCATCAGATAGGAAAAACTCGAACAACCAAACAGTAGATCCTGAAGACCAGGTCATAGCACGTAACATTGGTGCAGTTATTCACATTGGTGCAGTTATTCACATTAGTGCAGTTCACATGGCAAAATTCAAACCTGATTAAATTGTTGGATAATGTTTTCTACAATGTGCATAATTCACTTGAATAGGACGCTCAGAAACTAATTGAAAGTATAGAAATATCCTAATGTGTATATCGAAGGACTGTATGGGCCAAGACTATGATGTGTGAATTTCTCGATATTGGCAGAGCTTTCAAGGGCTAACCTATCTCCTTTGTGCCATGCTCATTTTTTTAAAAATAAAATATACGATAACGACTTTTTTCAAAGCAAAGAGAAGCAAATGTGCTAATCAGCTTCAACAATGTGACTATTTTTACAAAATCAAATTTTTGTACAGCGTGGTTAGGTGGAAAAGCTGGGTTCTAATAAGACGTTTTTTGAAGAACAATAAGGGTCCAGATAACGTGGCTGTTTGGAAGATTGCTTCACAAAAGCCACGTGTGTGCTAAAGAATTACACTGGGAGGCGTTACTGTTGCGGTTAGTGACTTCATCATAAGGTCAGACGACCAGCAATTATCTTGAGATGATTTTTCTTTTATAAATTCTAAGAAACAAGGTAACGATAGAAAAGACCACGTTTGGACTGCTTCAACTCGCGAACAGACAAACATTAATTTAATTTTTGAGTTGAAATAAAAGCTAAAGAATTTTCATAACTTTACGTTGATACTGTCTTAGACATAGCAAATTAAAAAAGTTTCGTTTCAAAATCTTTCTAATGACAAACCGGTGTTTTCTTGACATCTTTTTAAAGCTACGTTTACAAGCTGGATCCTGCCTTTTACAGGGCAATTCCAGCATGTGACAAGGGAATAGAAAATACCTGATTTTTTAGTCGAAGGAGGAACACCAGATTTCGCCGATGATACCTTCTGACCTTTATTTGTTGTCGTTGGTGCCTTTCCTTTGCTTGGCGTAACTGTCTTTCCTTTTGCTACAGTTCCCTTGTTTTTCAAGGGCGTTGGAGACTTTGCAGTGGTCGTTTGGCCTGATTTTGAGATACCTTGTAAGAAATTTAGCATCACGATAAGTTTAATTGTTTTCAATTTTTGCTAGCTTTTGTGGCTTCGAGCTAGACAAAGTAATGTTAATTGGGAGTTGCGCGAGGAAAGTTAAACTTGAGCCATCGCAATTAAGTAATACTTTGTAAAACAAATTATAAATATAAATATTGAAGGAATTTTGGACTTTCAACTCTGTTTATAGATGTTTTTACTTTTCTTACATTTTCTCTAATTTTTAATAAAATTTTAAACACTGCCTTACTGATAACAGTTCTTGTAGTAATGAAAAGGTTTACTCTGTATAAATATTTCCCTTATTACTATTATTATCAAAAGTTCGACTACACGCCATCAATCCAGTTTCATTGTATTGGCACTATCTGTATTGCCAGCTAAACACTTGAAAACTATATAAGCTATACATAAAAAAGGCTTAGTTAAGATAAAATCTCTAGCAAACGTGGTGCCAAGTTTCTATGACTTGTCACCACATTGCCGCATGGCGCACAGAATTAAGATATCGAGATAAACCACCAAAAACATAAAAACTTTGCTGGGTGCGTTCTCTCTTCCAATAGAATGAAACATAGATAAAAATGATAGGAAAGATAAACAACAAAACACCTTTTGCAGCTGGTGACGATTTTGCAAGTGTTTTCAAAGGAGACGGTGCAGCTTTCGACTGTGATGTTGCAGCAGTCTTTGCGGGAGATAAAGCCTGACTTTGCCTTTCCTTTTCTTGCCTTTCTTTCCACCAGATCGAGTCCTTAATCATCCAAGAGATTTCTTTGCCAAGCACACTTTTACCCTCAGACTGCATGCTTGCTCGGTAACTGAATTCGGCTTGCGGGAGGTAATCAGCGTTTTTAAGTGCATCAGTGTCATAAAGTGCAAGCTGCGCATCCCCAAGGCGGTACAAAGATCGAGAACAGGAAGGGTTCAGGACAACGGCCTCTTCAGAAATCTGACGGTGGCATATGAAAAAAGATTAGTAACAAATTATTAGTAAACAGTATCCAAAAGTTTGAACTGAGAAGATAAATAAATTACATTAATCCATAGTAAGACAATGCAGAGGGTACCATAAATAAGATTGAAGAGCACAACTAAAATAAGCAGCCATGATTAATCTTTTTTCGAATTAATCCCAATATGAATTGATAGCATAAGAAGAAGTGACTTGCCATAAAGGCAAATTTATAATTTTATATACTGAAATACTTTTGTCTCCATCAAGTGTCTTAATATTGAATTCTAAAGAAAATTGTGAATTATGCAGTTTATCAAAATAAAACAAGTAAAAATGTGTTTGTCAGCTAGCAACATACATTGAAGCAAGATAGTACCGATCTTAAGTCTAGTCAATTTTCTCTCACATTTGACATTACCTTTCTTTGTATATTTAGAACCTTGTTGTCAGAAGTGGAGTGCTCGAAAGCCCTAGACAAAGCTGACACTCTTTCCCAATATTTGTACATCCTTTTCCTCTCCTCTGATGCCACAGCCAATTTGTTCTTTAATTCAGCCATCGTGAATTGACCGAGAGAAAATTGTGCTCTTAAAGCAATCCACTGAAAATCCTTGTACGTTTTGTTTCTATGGGTAATACCGTTCATCAGCTGAAGGCAAATGGAACTTGTTTGTTTGTACATTTCTAAAGTCAAAGTTTTGGAAAAAAAGATGACATACAAAAAGTGTGACAATCTATCGCAATCATTCTATCAAAATTATTGCAATATCGTAATTCACCATCTCTAGTAATATTTAAGAAATGCTACTCGTGTTTTTACTTCCATAGACTGGCATAAAATTTTATTAAATGATAAAAATAATCGATGAGGGGAATAATAACATTAATCAAGAGTAAAATTATTCGCAAAGTAGCAAAATGAAATTTTCTTTTATGCTGTTGATGATTATGATAACGCCTCTCTCTCTTTTTGCGTTTTTTCAATCTAGCAGCTTTTAACTTATTTTCTGTTAATACGAGTTCAAAGCTGAGCTCGAATCGAATTATGAATAAAGTTTCTAGAGGATAGGGCTCGAGAAAATATACATAAAACATTGAGCATTTTCCTAAAACAAGTACGTATCCATACTAATCAATTGTGGCTGTAGAAAATCAGAAGGAAAACAACGTAGAAGTAGAAGAGAAAATGTTGTAACATTGTCGACTTTTGCGAACATTGCGGAAGCGGAACAGAGCAAAGTATAAGGAGAAGGTATTTGCAACATAAAAAAGAGAAAAGAGGCGAGGAAACTGTATCAACTCTGCTTACAGCTTCGGTTCCTCATTAAGGTCGGTAACAGCATGAATTGTAATAACATACCAATGACTTTTTGTACACCTCCGTTGGAATTACAATCGTCGTCTCTAAAAAGATGAGCAAGTTGAAGCATTCCCTCTAGAATGAGCACATTGCTATGACGTACAAAAATCTCAGCACTGCATTGAGGAAAATGTGCATCTGGATCTTCACACAGCTTGTAAATTGCATAATCTACCCCAGCTTGCAGATACTTCAATGGGTTCAAGTGTTGACTATGCTGCCTTCCATATTGCTTGACATAAGCCAATCCAAGATAAAACCTGTAGTCAAGCCAATATAAAGCAAAGATTTAACAAAAAATGCATTTGTTTTGAGACACCCTTTTACACTGTTACGAACCCAAAATGAGGCAGATGGGATTCCCGTTCACACTGGGCCTGCTGCATCTGTTCAAGTTGAGGTCTAGCCCAACCGGCTGGTACGAATCTAAATCGGGGACGTCGTAACCGGGCGTGCTGGGAAGGGGTTTGCAGCCTCCCTAAAAATTATCAAAACTGTAGTATATATCCTTTAAAACAGTGTATGAGAAGGAATACAATGGGCAGCCATTCCCCTCCCCCCATATATATTTTGTTCCGACGGCACTGCAAATGGGTACGGAACAAATATATGGCAGTTTATACGCGGACAGAGTTGAATCTGTACCCATTTTTGTTAGTTTTTATACTAGAACGGATCGAAAATGGATCCGTACCCGTTCGCATCCTAAACAACGCCAAAAGAACAAAAATGAGGCTAAGCAATGTGGCAGAATGACCTTCTACAATTAAACATTTAGCTGAACAAAAGTTGAGTGAAATATTTAGCAAAACATGCAGTCGTTTTGCCAGGCATTAGTTTTGCTTGACGATACACTCACCTCGTGTTGCTATAAACAAATGTGCTACCAATATATGTAGGCAAAATGTCTACAAAATCCACAACTTGTTAGGTTACAAATTAAATAATATCATACAGGGACAAAATTAAGGACTCTAGCGAAATCGACGCTTGATTCGTTAAAGTCGAATCCTGCTTGACTTCAAGGACATAATTTTTAATTAAAAGTGAGTCTGGTTAATGGCAACAAAAACTGAAGGCGTTTCTTCAAATGTCAAACTGAAACAATGCTCAAAAACGCAAATAAATCAGCCTTAGGCAAATCGATTAAGCCATTGGTAAAAAATAAGGGCAATCACGGGTAAATTATAATTTCTGTCTCCCATTCTTTGATAATGTAATAACGATTCTCTAAGATCTAGCATGGTATGCGTTAGATAAGATCTATAAAATTATAAATATACCTTGCTTCGATGCTAGTAGGTTTTAGGCCAAAAGCAGCTTCTAATCTTTTAATAGCATCTTCATAATTGCCTTGCATCAACAAAAGCCGCCCAACATGCATATGATAACGAGAACTGTTTGGATCACAAGCAACTGCATCTAAAAACTTGAGCAAGGCCTTGGTCAAGAAAGAATTCCCAGCTGTAGTTTTTCCGAGATTAGTGTTGCCTTTTGCTTGCGCTGATTTCCACTCGTACAGTTTCTGGACGTAGTCTGCTTTGCTTGACTGGCTTTGATCCAGCAAAAAATGGTACTCCTCATCAAGCGCTTTGAGGACTGCTGGCAAAAGAGAATTTTCATGCACACCTCTTGATTTGCAAATCGCTCTGGTCTCTTCTTCTTTGGATGAATCGCTAGCTATATCCATCAAATTATCAAAGGTTTTATCTTCTTCTTCTTCTAACACATCCTGTAGAGAAGTAAAGACTTTCGAATTTAAAAAGAAGGGAATAAATTTGTGAACGATATCCAGAATCTGATGTAAGTTACCCGCATGCACAGACACTGGCAAGCAAGAACTTTGCTCTTGTTTACCGATGTGGTGAAGGAATGCTTTGTGAAATGCATAAAACGACCAACGAGAAAGCAAATACGACTGTATGCAAATACATACTGAGGTGGGGCAATCAGGAATTCAAAATCAATTCTGGTGTGAAATTTAGCAATACAAAAACCGTTCTTGGGGAATCACGTGGAGCTAGTACAAGTTTACAATATTACAAGCTAGATAACTTTCTTCAGAATATTCGATATTAAATCGAATTTGTGAAGCAAAATTGTTAGTTATAATGAAATAAGATGATAATGTACCCAGCAAAAGCCAAATGCATAAGTTATTTCGAATTACCTCTTACCATAGAAAGCATGCTTATTAAAAATAACTGGTTGAAGCGGAAACAACTTTAGGATGACATCTTGCTCAAAAACATTTCCCTAAGCATGACTCTAAATGTTAAAAACATACAGTCAATCCTTTGCGTATCGTAAACACTTGGATAGCGGACACGGAGCATTTCCTGCTGCTTTTCATTCTCAAGACCGGCTTAAATCTGATCTTCTAACTAGTGTAAACGCAAAATTATTACCTCAAGCTTTTTCAAAAAACATTTTACACAAATTTGGCGACGAAAAGTTGCCTATTGACATTAGTAAGAAGCTATTTGAGGCAAGCCTCAATTTCATTCGTGCTACAGATGGTTTTTATATTCTACCTTGATGCAATCTAATTTTTGCAAGCTTACCTTGCATTTGTAAATAGTTAACTATGCTTAGTTACACTTGGTTTAACGTTTTACGTCTTTAATTTCTTTTCATGGGGAAGTCATAATCTTTGAGAAAAGAAAACGATTTCAAACATGCTTAAGCTATTTCAAACATATTCAAAACAAAAATCTTAGGCCACGCCTTTTCTACTGTCAGAAGAGGCCGGTTTACCGCTAGGAACGCTAATTTTGCCAATAAGGAAAGCACATAGCCAACAGTTTCAGAATCATAGGATTACATCACAAAAAATACATTGCCAAAATATTACCCTTTCCCTGACCTTTTCTCTTCGAATTTAGACGAAATACAAAATCGATCCTGCCGAGAACTGGGGGGAGGGGGACGTGACGCCAGTCCCCCCTCCCGTGCCATCGCTACTGAAACAGATATACTTATAGAAACATGAAGAAGAAGCACTTGTAAGAACATAAACAGCCTTGCTTGTATAAACTTAAATGACGCGCACATAAATCCTTAAGCCATAAATTTCTGGCAAACAGAAGGCGTGAAGATAACGATTGTGCATTAGATGCGATCGTCTGAGCAATTCAGAACTGCTTTTGGAACCCTACCTGAGATTTACATCCCCAGATGTCTTCTGCATAATACATCTCTTCAAGAACAGCTGCAAGTTTAAAATGGTTTGTGGGATTCCGTGGTTTCATCTTAATCATACATGCATAGTTTTCAGCAGCGACTTGGAGCTGAGACAGGTCGCCTAAAAGAAAACAATTTGCATGGACAAAATGAATTTTTTTCTTGTTCTGTTCCATAATATTCAATAAACACTATCATATCATATTCTCACAGTCTTTTCAAAAATTGCATGCATATGCAACAACTAGAATGGAAAATCTATCTGTCTGCTTCTTGTTGCATATGCACAAAGACACAATTATCTGAATCTTTTAGGATCAACATGTTTAGAAACTCTACATGTTTACAATGAATTTATGCTGGAGGAAAAAAGCCCAAAGGGTAATTATGGCTAATAGCCAACAATATTATACAATACTTTAAATTTTTTCGGGGAAATAAGGGAATAAACGTCACTCCTCAGAGCATAAAACGTCAAATGCTCTAAGGAGTGTCAGACAAAAAAGCTTTTAGCCAATATGTTGTAAAATGTTTGCTTTTTCAAAGCTATTTTAAAGTTCTGTACCGCCAAAAGACTGAATTTGTGTGAATTTAGTTTACTGAGGCCTACGCGTAGCTGAGTGAGAATGACAACACCTTTTGGATCATAAAATTCCATAAAGAGGCTTCTGGCCAAGGCAGATAAGAGAAGATATTCTATTTTTGAATAAGCTGACTGTAGGCGATTCTCTGATCTCAGAGGCAAAGCTGTTCCATTTTTGTAAACAATTTGGGTAGAAGCTTGACTGAAAGCGCTCTGTTCTTGCATTTATTTGCCAAACGACAGCATGGTTTCTAAGTGCGTAAGTAAGAAGCAAAAGTGTTTGTGGAATAGGATGTCATGTATATTCCAGAGCAAGGTTATTAATAAACTTAAAGAAAATAAGGAGACGCCTACTCCACCTTCTGTCATTTAAAGATTCCCAGCCAAGCTCTTCGTAAATTTTATCTCTCGAAGTACCTTTCTATTCACTTGATAGTAGAGTCTCCAGGGCGAAACCCAGATTGGTTTTAATTTAAAAGTGCTCGTACAAAGAATCAAACATTAACTTTTCTAATACTTGCCAAGGATAGGAAGGAGGGAAAAGTGACCATAGTTTTACTGGATGTTCTTGTTGTTCTTTTTGTGAACTGGAACGACATTGGCTCTCTTCCATACTTCGGGGAAAACGCCTTCTTTCAAGCATGCTTCGAATATTAACTTTAGAGAAAAGACTAGGCTGTCGTCACAAATTATAATCATACGAACAGATATGTCATCCCATCCATGTGCCTTATTTAGGTTTAAGGAACGTATAATATTGAGTATTTTCTCCTCTGAGACGCAGAAATCGGTCAATGAAGGTGCTTTGGATAAAAACTGACCTGGTACTTTGCTTCCAGTATCTATTGTAGTACATCGGAGTACAAAATAGTCATTGAACATTTGTGCTTTCGACTCAGAATCAAGTACAAAAACGTCGTTTTCCAAAAGAGGGGGAATAACTGGTATTTTGGCCTTGTTCAGTATATTTTTTACCAGGGACCAGTACGTTTTTTGGCCTGTTTCAGGATTTGAGTATGATTTCGGCCAAGAGCAGAAAATACAACTCGGTCTATCGGGCACTGGTAAATTGCAATTGTCATTTCATTGGTATAAATATATAAAATTACTTACTGCTATTACTCTGTGCAAGTACATTTGCCTGATCTGAGGAGTGGCTTGACCCTCTTTCCTGCAACTTTTTTTCCCAATCTCTTAACTCCACCACATGATTTACTTTGGTATTTGGATGCTTGGCAGGGCAGTACCATTTTAAATGTGTGCTTACATCATTCTTCTGCAAAGAATGACTGCACATTTTGCAAACACTTAGCTGTTGATAGAAAGAAAGGATTGCTATAAAGACATATAAACTAACAAAAATAAGATCATAATGGAACATTTTATCTTTCATATTATCAGAAACAGTGACCAAAATTGATTTCAAACGATGCCAATAAATCCAGAACTGTTTGCTAAGAGGTAAGTATTTTTTATAAAAAAATCAATTTTGTGAAAATAATAAGATTCAAATTTTGCAAAATTCACAGACCAAACCTGCAAAGCTTACACCCAGAAGATGTCATGTTTGGTAATAAAACATATTTCAATAGAAGAGTTTTCAAATCTGAGTAATCAAAGTATCGCAATGAGTTATAACATAAGAAAATTATTAAAGATTTTTACTAATGATTTAATCCTTCAAGAATTCTAACTTACTTTTTCTATCTTTTCAAGGTCTCTCTCAGAAACTACTTCATCATTTATTGGTGCTACCACTGGCTGCATAGGGCATCCCTTCATATGGTTTCCAAGATGGCATAAGTCTATCTCTTCATTACATCCAAGAATCTTATAGCAGCAGAAAACTTTCGCACTTGCCAGCTCTTTTTCTGTGCCATATTCCTCGCATATAAAATCAATTGGCAATGGGGCTTCAGTAACTGGGTCAATTTTTCTTGTGCGAGTAACTGTATCAAGACACTTTCTACAATATGTATATCTGCTCGGATCAGTAGCTTGGTTTAGCTTTATTGACACTGGGCAGTGAAGAAACCCTAGGCAGATTGGACAATACATTGACTCAGAAGGATTGCTGGCTGCTATCATTCTGATGATTTTGTCTTTAACAAACTTTATTCTGAAAATTTTGACAAAACTTTTATCAGGTGACATGACCTCAAGTTGATATAATGTTTCTCCATAATTCAGAAAGACGTCCAAATTTTCATTTGCACCAATAACATCTTTATCTTTAGCCTCAGGCAAGATGGTAACTGAAGAGAGATGCCAAGGAAGATTCACGGTATAATCTGTAATTTCATCTTTAAAAATTGGGGACAGTGAGCCATGGGATAACTTTATGTCAGCTAATGAAGCAAGAGATGCCGACAGGACAGTCACATGAACCTTGTACTTTTTTGTGCTGCCATCTTCTGCAGTTACTTCAATGTCCAAGTCAAACTCATCACCACCATGCAGAGGAATTGATCTAACGTTTCCATGACCCTTTATAAATAGATTGTACAAATAAATAAGTTCTATCTCTCAATAAAATATTTTATCATGATTCAAATTTCTGTTCACCTGCAAGGATTTATAGCCAGGGATGTAGTGGTAAACATTTAACAAGGGGGGCTATATGAAATATCTAAAGTTGCTCTTGTCGTTTAATCTTGCAACTTGAACATGAGGAGAGTAGGTGTTTATTTCTGATCATTGGTTAAGCAGCCAGGTACATTGACTGTGTTGAGCGGCAGCTGAGATTTGGACATTGGAACCATGTTAATATTGCTCAACAGCTTAGTTAAAGCTGCACCATGGTTGGAAGTGAGAAAAATTTGGGATATGACATTCTAAAGATGGCCAGAAAATGCATCTAAAAAATTTAAAACATTGACAAGGAAGACCCTAGGCCATAATCTGAAGCTTTCTATTTATTAAATATGAACCATCAGTAAGATTTTGGATTGACACGTTTTCTCTCGTGTCAACAAAATAGAGCAGATTATCAGCTAATGAACCGTGCTACCAAAAATGTCATATAAAACTGTTATTCAGTGGACTTAGAAAGTATTCATAGTTTGCAGATGTAGAAAAATCAAATTTGTAATAAGAATAACATTAAGAACAACCGAGCTACAATCATCCAAAAAATAAGAACATCATGTGTCAGGAAAAGTGGGGCCGGTTTACACATGTTTTCAGAAAACAATTGCCACCAGTTTCAATATTGGTGCATAGATAGCATTCCAAACTGTCACTTTGAGTGGCGACTGACTTCCTCGATTTTGAATTCCTTGGATACCTTTGGATAAAAGATGAATTAGGAAGCTGGGAACTCTGTCGGAATCTTGTGGGGGTTCAATTCAGTATGTAAACAGAAGAACTGTAGTCAGTCAGGGAGAAATGCAGCATTTGTTGCAACTGAAATATTAGGTCAAAAATTCAAGATTCACAGAGAAACATAGCTCTAAAATAATTTTATAATTTTGCATATTTGGGTCAAAATTTGATGTGATTGTTACAACGTGTGCAACTTCCCCGGTCTGGATTTCATGGCAGTTTTCAACGAGATCTCGGGAGTGCACAAGCTTTAGCAGGGAGTGCAAGAGTGCATTTGTGATAAATGTGCACATTTGAACCAATACTTTTAGTTTTGGGTCTGGAACTCAGGCTGACCAAGTAACAGAAAATTTTAAACAATTAAAAGAGAATGACTGCAAAAAAATATTTTGAGGTGTAGCTTAAAAAAGTCAGAGAAATTTTCTGCTCGCTTCACTCGCAAGGGACTTTTGTAGTTTTCCTAACAGCCACAGTGACCCCATTTACACTGTTTCGTGCAAAGTTTGGAACAATGACAAAACTGTGGTGGTTTGCCCTTCCGTCTACACTAGCACTGTGGAACCCTGGCAACTTTGCTCTGCCATCCGACACAGTTTTGACCCTGCTATGAAAGCTGACAAATTTTGTACTGTCACATTTTTCTTTTTAAACAGGACAGTGAAAACAGGTCTGAAACTTTTTGGCAGCCCAGATCTCAAAAGGATCAAACACTTTTTCCAATCCAAGTTGTGAAAAAATTTAGAATTAAAGACATTTTGCCATATTTGAAAAATCTTTTATTTTGAGCCACACCCAAAACCACGCCCAAACAACATCCATATTCGAGTGTGCAAGAGTGCTCTCGTAATGTTACAAAAATTTTTCTGGAGTGCAGCTGCAATCAGTGGCGGACATTTGGGGGGGCGAGGGGGGGCCACCGCCCCCCCAATACTTTAAAGGACAATGGTATTTTGTTCTAGAACAATGGGAAATGTGACGTCATCTTATTAAAACAATAGGCTTGCCCCCACAATATTTGATCCAGTGTCCGCCCCTGGCTGCAATGGAATCCATACTGCTGGCACTTTCCTCCTTTCCATACGACAAGACAGCGTTTTTTTTACATCTATTTCAACTCATCTGATTGACAAAATTCACTAGGTTACAAGAAACTTACAATTATAGTCCAAGAAGCGTCTGAATCTCTCGTAACTGGATTGATGCTTAAGGATACGGACTTGCTCGGCAACGTTAAAGAGTATTCGGTTATGTCACCATTAAACTTTGGTTCCAAAGTTCCAGGTTTTACTAGCAATTTTTCTAAATCTGCATCATTCATTTTACCAGTGAGATTATGCTTTCAATAAAATGCGGGCTCGTTAATGTCTTTGCCATCCATCCTATGCTCTTTGATATCCCTTCCACTTCTAAAAACTGCAAAAAGCCATTTTAGTGTCGTTTAGCAAAACGCGCCAAGAGAGTTCGGTTGCCAAGTGACACTGGAAAGGAGACTAATGAGACCGAAAGAGATACTGATCTGCTCCTCCGTAGTGTAGCATCGAATGTTATAGATATATGTATAAACAACGTGTGCATTTTTCGGATAGGGTAGGAAACCCCGATGGAATACTAAATCGCAGGGGTGCAGTGCTAGGAGGGCTGAGCCCCTCTTGTTATGCCGAGAATTGTCAAATTTCCTCTTCTGCTACGGTTTTTCGCAACACTTTGTGCAAGAGCCCCCCTTGTTATTTTGATAGCACTACACCACTGTTAAAGCGCTATAAGAATGGCCAATTTAAGTACCATTCTCATTGCACAGAATTAATTTAAAGAGGATGCCATAGCTTGATCAAATCAGAGAGAATTACCATTTGGATTTTAACGAAAAAAACTAGTTTAAAAATTGAAAAAATCTCATTTTAGTTAGGCAGAAATATTTGCAAAAATTTATGTGTAAGACTGGTTACTGATGATTGATGATTGCATTTTTTTCATCACCGCACTTTAAAAGATCCATGCAAAAATGTCGAATTTTCCATCCAGCATAAAGCATAAGCTCGATGATATAAAGTATAAGAAATAAACATAAGACATAAGACGTAAGACATAAGACATAAGACATAAGACATAAGACATAAGATATAAGATATAAGACATAAGACATAAGACATAAGACATAAGACATAAGACATAAGGCATAAGACATAAGACATAAGACATAAGACATAAGACAAAAGACAGGGGGCAGCTGCCCCCCCCCCACCAAACTTTTCTAGCTGCTTGTCGGAAAATTTGTCGGAAAATTTACCATGTGAAAAATTTCGTCAACAAATATATTTTTCAAGTTTGAACCTTAGAAGCAAATAAATTCAATTTTTTGGACTGTTTTTAATAGAGCTTCACACGCATATCCATTCATTTCATAAAACCACTCAATCTGGATACTTTTTGCTGATACAAACGTTGGTTTAGGTTTCATCTCATTTAACTCAACAGAACAACTTTACAGCTGAATTTGAATTGCAAAGGGAAATGGTCGGTCAAAGTAAAGTTAAACGGCAAAAAGTCGAATGCTTCCTTTGTCGTATGTCTTTCAATAGTGACTACCGAAGAAAATACAATGAAAAATACCATTGTGAAATAATTTCTGCCCACCGAAACATTCCATACAAGATTGTTGGGGCTCCGCGAAAAAAGAAAAAAGAATTTTCTCTCGCGAAAAAAGAAAACCAAGCCACTCCGGAAACATTTCCTAGAGAAAGAGCATCATCGACATTGTGACCACAAAGTGTCCAGGAATCCTTGATTGGAAAATCAGATGAAACCTGTTCGACTCATAGTGACATGCAACATCAACCAGATACTGATGCTCGAATGGGTGACTATGCTGTAGCCTCTACACTCCACTCTGAATCTCAGGTGACTTTGTGGCAAAATACATTTGGTGAGTCTCCAACGGATCCGGCTAACTTCCGAGGTACAAGAATAACAGCCGAAAAACGTGTCGAAATTGTGCGACATGGACCATGCCAACCAACCAGCATCTTCTTCTCGAAGAATGTCGATGGTAGATGCTTTCAACAATCGTGGCATAAAAGAAATAACAGTTAACGCAAATGGTTGACATATTCTTCAAAAGAGCAAAAAATGTTTTGTTTCTGCTGTTGGCTTTTCCCTTGCATATCAGAAAAATATTTAGAGAAAAATTGGAGCCAGATAGGGCTTGAAAATTTCAAGAAAGGAATCGAGAAGATCAGGGCACAAGAATATACAAGGCTTCACTGTATAAGTATTGCACAATGGAAGTCTTTTTAGCAGCGAGTTCTGCATGGCCAAACAATTGATGCAGAATTTCAGAGGCAACTAGAAACAGATAGGGAGAAGAAATTATTGATCCTTGATTGAATCTTCTCCTTAACTTTGTTTTTGGCATTACAAGAGATCTCATTCAGAGGTCATCGGTTTGAAAGCCAAGCACAAATGTCTTCGTTTGAGAATAGTGGTAACTACCTGGAATTGCTGGTAGCAAAATATGATCCGGTTCTGGCTGCTCATCTTTCAAGCAAGAAGTCGGGGGGGGGGGGGGGGGGGGGGAGAAAATAAACTTCTCTTCAAATTCAGAATGAAATTATCAGCTCAATACCTACAGTAATTCAATGTCAAATTATATAAGAAATTCAGGAAAAAAAGTTCTTCTGCATAATTTTAGATACTACCCCTGACATATCTCACATAGATCAACTTGCTTTTGCCATAAGGTACATGAAAAATGGAAAAACCACTGACGCGTTTTCTCTGCTTTGATGAGATGAAAGGGTCTAAGGCAGTGGATTTTCGTGACAAGTTGATAGAACTCTTAAAAAAGTATGGCCTTGATTCTGATTTGATACGAGGACAAGCAATGGATGGCTGTTCAACAATGTCTGGTATTCGTGGTGGATTGCAGACATTGGCGCGAGAAATCAATCCGACAGCACTTTACGTCCATTCTATGGCGCATCGCCTGAACCTTGTTCTTGTAAAGGCAGCAACAAACAGCGTGCAAGTGAAGTCTTTCTTTGGAATTTTAGAATCCTCGTGTAGTTTTTTTGTTGCAAGTCCTAGGCGAATAGCCCAGTTGCACAAAGCACAAGATAATGCAGGGAAAATCCACGAAACCCCCAAAGCACTTTCCGACACACGTTGGGCAGCTCGTGCCAATGCAGTTCAGCATACAAGAGACAACTTCGATAGAAAACAATCAGCTTGATGCACATGGTCTTGCAGATGCTCAAGGATTACTGGATCAACTGGGAAAGTTTGATTTCTTCGTGATGTTGCTATTTTGGTTTGATGTGTTAGTCATCACAAAAGCTGCTACCGACAGGGTTCAAGGCCCTCTTCTTAATATTGGCGTGTCCTGTCACCTTATTCCAGCATGCATCAGTCAGTTTACGGCAATGCGTTGCGACGATGGTCACTTCGACACGATAATAGCCAAAGCAAAAGAGCGGTGTGAATCTCTTGGAATCCCTGCAACTTGTGAACAGCGAAGAATTTCAAGAAGGAAAACTTTTCATGATGCAATGGCAACTGATGAATGATCCAATTGTTGACCAAATTCAAAGATTCAAGGTTGAGGTCTATTACTCTGTTCTGGATATCATAATTAATGATATCAAGGCAAGGTTAAGTGATACGACTGTTGGTGTAATCAATGCTCTTAAGTGTTTATCTCGAGCTACTCTAATTGACAACACAGAGAGACCTCCAGCAAATCACGTTTGGAGCAACTGAACGTTCTTTCAGAATTCTATCGAAAGGACTTTGGCTCGAATGAAATTGTTTTGAGAGAATTCAAAAACATACACGCTCTCCTCTATGCGTGGGAGTTAAGTGATGGTGAAGCTGTTTCGAGGAACCACGAAGATCTCCTCCCTTTCCTTATCAAGAACTGTCTTCTGGATCAGTTTGAGAGTATTGCTACACTGCTAAAACTCTCACTTTGCCTGTGTCATCTGCACACAATGAGAGGGCTTTAGTTGTTTAAAGCGATTGAAATCATACTTTCGAAGTTCAATGACTGAAAAAAGGATTTTAGACTTTGCTGTCATATCGATCAACAGAAGTTGTTGCAGAATTAACAATTAGAGATCTTGAAAAACCTTTTTGCAAGAAAAATGCAGGAAGATTTTTGGACAGTAATTCTGTAAAACGCTGTACTTTTTTCTTATTTTTTTTCATATTTTTCATATTTTAGCTATATTTTTTTCACATGCTTCCACATATATATGCCCTTAAGAAGTGTTATATTTGGACAGTTAACAAGATAAAGTCCTCTATGGCTGAGTATTTTCTATGGTTAATTATTTAGCTTTGATACCCGGGCTGATTTGTCAGCTTAATTACAACCCTCAAGCTTTGCTCTTATTTTATCATATCGGTTTCTAAAATGCGTAATAGCAGAGTAGTATACAAATGCGAGCATGAACAAACAACGACCCTTCGATGCGACGTATAAATGGGGGCAACCACCAAACTTCAAAGGTGTTTGTCAGAAAATTTGTCAACATCACTAAATTTCGTCGGAATATTGTCGAAATTTGTCCGGGTTTCGCCCCTTCACCGCCAAATCGTAGCTACGCCACTAGTAAGGGGCGAAACCAGGACAAATTCCGACAATATTCCGACGAAATTTAGTGTATTTTATATATATAATATATATTAGCGAATATATATATATTTATAATATATATTAGCGAATTATATAAGATATAAGATATAAGATATAAGATATAGATATAAGATATAAGATATAAGATATAAGATATAAGATATGAGAAATAAGATATAAGATATAAGATATAAGATATAAGATTTAAGATATAAGATATAAGATATAAGATATAAGATATAAGATATAGAAAATATAAGATATAAGATATAAGATATAAGATATAAGATATAAGATATAAGATATAAAATTGCGCTTCCATTCAAAACTGTTTTATGCATTCATTTAATGGGTGTTGTTGTCTTGCAACTGCTGTGTTGCCCGATAAATGTTTCTATACTTTTTATTTGTTTTTATGGCTGCGTCGTTTGTTAGGAAGTTACTTTTACAATTGGTCACTCATTGGGCACAAACACTTTGTTATTTGATCCAATCTTGCATGACCTTTTAAGTACAATTGAAGTTTCATCAAGTGTGACGTTTTAGCTACATAAATCCAGGGCAAAATTTCTCAACACTATAAAAGAGAAGCCACCTCACAGAGAGAAAACAAATTTTTTAGTTGGTATTTCAGCTTATCTGTGTCACTTGATCAAAGAGTGTCACAGGGCGCAACACTTGGACCACTTCTTTCAACCTCTTCATCAATAATTTACTGAAACTAACGGCTCCTTATGTGCTCACTTGGCATCTTCGACAATTCTTGCAAATCATTAATCAAAATGACCAATCTCTTTCTGTCGCCCAACAAAAAAGCGGTATTTTATCTCCAGACTTTAGTCTCCAGCCTTATCTCCAACATAGCTACCTACCGTGTACTGCA